GCTTGCAGCCTTGTTGGAAGTGAAGATGTTAAAAAAAAAAAAAAAAAAAAAAAAAGAATGTAACTCTAAAGAAACAAAAATAAAAACAGTACACAAATTATTTAAATTATTAATTTGTTTTTATTTTTTTCTATCTCTTTATTTTTTTGAATCTCTTTTTATTTTGTTAGTTTTGTTTTTTTTGTTTTAGAAAACTTTTTCAGCATTATTATAAAACTTGCAAATGGCCGTGTTCACGTTTTCTAAAATAATCGCGTGTGGTCATATGAAACAAAAAACTGCACGTCTTTCCTGGGAAGGCTTGTATATATATATATATATATATATATATATATATATATATATATATATATATATATATATATATATATATATATATATACAAGTATCTTCTACAGTCTGTTTCCCTTTCAGCAAGTTTATCAAAAAGCTTCTTGATGAACAACAAAACAGACTGCAGAAGATATTTAGATAAGTGTTTTTGCTAATTCATATATATTTATATATATATATATATATATATATATATATATATATATATATATTATATATATATATATATATATATATATATATATATATATATATAAAATCTTTCTTGCTACAAATTTGGACTTATTTGTTGTTTAATTGATCGTCCATTTAAAATTTATAATACTTGGGTTAGTTTTGATAAAAATATTAAGAATCTATCATTAGTTTTATAAAATAATAAATTTACACAAAAAATTATTGACTCTGCAATTAAATCCTAAATTGATAAGAAAATAAACCATCTGTTTCTAACATTGTTAATAGATTAAATATAAGATACTTTAAGCTTCATACATTGGAATGTACTCTAATTATACTAAAATGAAAATTTCAAAAATTGTTCATAAATATTGCAAGGATGTTCTAATAAAATTAATTTTTACTACTAATAAAATACAAGATTGTTTTTGCTTAAAAGAGTCACTTCCTAAACTGCTTAAATCTCATGTTGTCTATAAATTTTCTTGCGCTAGCTGTAATGCCAGTTATATTGGAGAAACCTTCAGACATTTTGGCAACTAGAATAAATGAGCACCTTAAAAGTGATAAACAATCTCAAATATTTAAACACTTAAATTTATCTGTTAATTGCAAAAATCTGGCTAACTGTGATTCTTTTAAGATTTTGGATAATGCCCCAACCAAACACAAATTAAAGATAAAAGAAGCTCTCCACATTAAATGGGAAAGTCCCTCACTTAATAAACAAACTTCACAATATGCTATAAACTTATCTTAATTTAATTTTACTGTCAGTTTATTATTATTATTATTATTATTATTACTATTATTATTATCATTATTACTACTACTACTATTATTATTATTATTATTATTATTATTATTATTATTATTATTATTATTATTATTATTATTATTGTTAACTGTCAGTTTATTATTATTATTTTCTTTTTTGACAGTTAGTTATTTTGATTGGTTATTTACCAAGTTATTTTGTAATAAATATATTAGTTCATTATGTAAACTTTTGTCTGTTATTTTTTCTCTGTAAAGACTTCCATTTTTTAATATTTATTTCAGAGTTTTATTATTGTAAAATAATCTTTTTAAAATGTAAATAAATTTTACAAAGCATGTCAAGAATAAAAAACATTGTGTTATTTTTAAAAATACTTATTTTATGCTATTACGACCGTCACAATTTTTTTAATTATTATTAAACTTCTTCACTTCCAACAAGTTAAATAGTGGTTGCTGCAAGCAACCACTATTTAACTTGTTATATAAATTAGGAATAAGAAGTGAGCTTATTCCAAAGAACCAATGGTTGAGAAAAAAAATATTGATAAAAAAGAATTTCAGGAGTACTTAGGAACAGTCACCGTAAAAAAGATGTGACTTTTTTAATGATGAGTAAAACAAGAATGAATTTAAGTAGATGGCGCAAGAGACACTAGCTCCTTAGAGCAGCGCCCATCATACACACCCATCATGTGACAATGGTGGAAGGTTGGCTGCAAGAGCAGGTCCATCTATGTTTACAATGCATTTTTGCACCTTTTCTAAAAAAGAAAGGTCATGCTCCAAGAAGATATGCTCCAAATATGGCAACAGTATTCCATACAAGGACGAATCAGAGATTTATAAAGATAAAGTATAGAATCCGGAGTAAGAAGGTGGCAAGCACAATAAAGAGATGCAACCTTAACAGATGATAATTTTGCAGTGGATTTGATATATGGTTTCCAAAAAAGATTAGAAGTAAGAGTTAATCCTGAAAGAAAAAGAGTAGGTGATTTATGGAGTACATTACCGATTATAGGAAGATCTAGATTATTGCAATAACGATTAGATAAAAAAAGTTTTATCGGAGTTTTATCACAAGTCTCTAATAACCCCATGCTGTAGCAGAAGTGAGATTATTTTTAAGCTCAAATGCTTCCTCCAAGCATTTAAATGGTGTTGCCTTATTATCAACACAAGAATAAGTGATAGTATCATCAGCAAACAATGCCACTTTAGATGTTATAATTTTGGGAGATCGTTAATGTAAGATAAAAAAAGGATAGAACCTTGAGGAACCCCTGAAATTACAGGAAGTGAAGAAGAGTGCTGTCCACGGAGGACAACGATTGTTAAAGAAGGATTCAATAATCTTGAAGATGCTACCTGATACACAGTAAGAAGAGAGGTTATGGAGAAGACCAACATGCCAAACTTTATCAAAGGCATTTAAAAATATCAATAGAGATAACCCTAATCTCTCTACATCTATGTATGTATAATAATGTGCAATAAAATCTATCAGTTATTACTGTTAACAAACCAGCAGTAGAAGTAGTAGAAAGTTATTAGATTCAAGGTGAGAAATTAAGTGTTTGAGTGTTAAAGACTCATGGTAGTAAAAAGACTAATGGGACTGATGATGAAGAAGAATCAGATAATTGTTTTAGAGAGAATAAACTTTGATCAGAAGCACCTAAGGGTGAATGTGAAGAAACTGAGCACTGACTAGGATCAGAAGCAAGACATAAGTTGAGTGGAGAAGGTAAATGATTCACATTGTCTGGAAAGCGAATTGGATAATTGACTATATGTGTTAGAGATTGAGAAAGTTGTAGGCTAAAGTTGTAGGCCTTATTGTCTTTAGAGTCACTGACACTAGAGCTAACCCAGTTAGTGTAATGAGCATTAAAGTCACCAACAACAACAATTATGGCCTAAAGAATAATAAAAAGATCTTGGTCAATTTGATCAAAAATAACATCAAGAAAAGTGAATGAGAAGGATGAGAGCAATATAGAACAAAGAGAAACATGATAAAGTGATGTGGTGCTAAACAAAAGCACATAAAAAAATAGTCTGTAGAAACCTAGTTTCCCGACAAATGGATGAATTCTTACTAATGTAAATGTCCAGGCCAAGAATGTGACTATTGGAGTCTTTACGAATTCAAAGAAGATAACCATCAATACTAAGATCACAAGATGAGACAGCTGAACTCAAATTAGTCTCACAAGAAGCAAGTAGGTCTGGTGAACTTTGCAAGACTCAACCAAAGAAATATTACTTCAAAGACCATGAATATTAGTGGATTAGAACTTAGTGATGATGATGGTTTTTTGTGTTTTATAGTTTTTGGTACTCTAGCCAGTTTTGGATTTGTTAAAGAGCTTGACTTGAAAGCACAGATAGTACTCAGTACACTAATTAATAGTCTAAGTAATTGCCTCATAACTATTAATAAACCCTCAGCTTTAACAATGGGCTCTAAATGTGGCCTCTACAATGCACAACAAAAATACAAACAGGGACACCATTCATGCGCAACATGGTACTGTTAGTACCAGGGCTGTGGAGTTGCGACAATTTTAGCAGAGTCGGAGTCGCTAAAAAATATCGCGACTCTGACTCTGATAGCGAAATTTCTTGGTATTGCATGTGCATGTATAAAACATTCAATTAACCTTATGTTCATACTAAACCTCAAAGAATGTTTGATAAATTTGTCAAAAAATAAATTTCAACTTATTGCGCAATATTTTTTAAAGAATTCAAAGAATTTTTTAAAAGTTTTGCATTGGAGTAGGAATCGGAGTTGTACTCAAAAAATTTCAACAACTGGAGTCGGAGTTGTTAGTTTTTTTTTACGACTTCACACCCCTGGTTAGTACTCTGATACCTTACAGCTGTTGATGGAATCAGTTTCTCTGAGAGCTACCACAGTTTTTGAAACCTAACCACCAGCCAGCCTCAGAACCATAAAATTGAGTTGTAGAGCTGTACCCTCATTAGGAGATAATAGAATGAGTTGCCTAGTCATAAAAACAGAGACACAAGCAAAATCCATGCAATCAGTCAAGAAGAGCCAGCATTCAATATCCTAAACTGGAAATAATATATATAAATACATCAATAATAACCTAATAGATAAAGAAGAAGTATGAAGCAGCTCAACAGATAGAATCTGTTTATCCCTTAAGTCTTTGCCTAGGAGGCCTTTTACAAGGCAGTTGCCAGATGCATTTAACGCCTGCCCAAAATGAGTATTTTTATTGAGACACCATCTCTAGACTTTACTTAACCAAGAGAGACAAGGCAGGGGGTTGATAAGTCAGATATATATATATATATATATATATATATATATATATATATATATATATATATATATATATGTATATATATATATATATATATATATATATATATATATATATATATATATATATATATATATGTTTATATATATATATATATATGTATATATATATGTATATATATATATATATATATATATATATATATATATATATATATATATATATATATGTATATATCTATATATATATATATATATGTTTATATATATATATATATATGTATATATATATGTATATATATATATATATATATATATATATATATATATATATATATATATATGCAAACATATATACATACATATATGTATATATGTATATATACAGTTTTCATTTTTATAGATTTTAAGTTTTACTGAAAATGTCTTAGTTCATTGGGAAAGATTAAATAAAATTATTTGGATACCGGAAGAAAATATTATACCTGTGAACAGTGATGTTAAAGAAAGTAAGTAACTTTAAAATAGTTAATAAAATAATTATAATAGTAGTTTTTATATATATATATATATATATATATATATATATATATATATATATATATATATATATATATATATATATATATATATATATATATATATATTTGTGTTTAAATATTTGAATTGTGTTTAAAATTTGAATATATATGCCAGTAAGAAATTATGTAAAATAAACATCAGCAACAATACTACTAGAATACATTAATAATACTACTGAGTTTAATCAAATTAAATCTGATCAGTTTATATCATGACCACTGTCATTATTATATTCATCATTAGTTCCATCCTGATCTACATGCCACAAATTAGCAAAATAATCTGCAGATTTTAGACAGATTTTAGTTTTTGTTCTGGCAATATAGTTATATAAAATTACATTGCCAACCATTATATAATGGAGCATCGGCAATAAACAGCTCCTGCTGTTTATTGCCAATGCTCCATTATATAATGGTTAAACCTTAATATGCTGCTGTGTGCAATTCCTGGTGATCTACTTCCTAACAGTACATGACTGGAAAATGCCATTGTAATTGTTATGATAAAATAACAATTCTTTTTTGTAAATATACTCTTAATAGAAAAGTCTTAAAAAAAGTCTTTTCTACACATCTTAATACTAATTAAGATGTGCAGAATAAAAATAACAGTATAATTTTTATTTTGGCCTGTACAGCACAAAAGATATGTAACTCTTTCACAGTTTCTGGGACTTCACCAGAAAGTTACTAAGAATTAAACAAACATAATGTTCACTTTTCTTTCCTATCATCTCATTGTATGTGTAAAAATAAGCAGCTGATGTAGATAGAACATGAATATTAAAAGCATAAAATGAAAGTTCTCTTTTGTAGTACACATCATAGATTAAGATGTTTGGACAATGAAGATTCTTGCAGAAGTCCATGGCTATTGCTAAATCAGTTGGATCTTTCACACGATTCTTTGCTGCTCTTTTTCTTACATAGGATGTATTGACTTTGTGATTGTAGATATCTTGCAAGACCTCTTGTTCCTTATGCTTCATCAAAATCTTGTTTTTTGTCTCATCATTTTCACTTGCTAACAGTTCTTGCTAAATTTTTTAACATGCGCACCATCCAGTTTTTATAATTCTCTGCCTAGCTACAGGTGTTACACAAATCTGTTCTGCTAAATATAAATCTTGTTTATCTATTGAATAATTCAAATGTGTTAGCTGATCTAACAGTTGGTTTTCCTATAAGCTTCCTGATGCAGTTTTTTTTGCATTTGGAATTATTGCCACAATTATGACTATTGAGTCTTCTCATTTCATTTCTGAACTTTGCATCGATTCTCTGCCTCTTCTCCTCTTAGGCAGGTCAGTAGGCTGAGGATGTTCATCATCAGATGACATTAGGTTATCCATCATTGTAGGGTATTGCTAATCTACTGTATATTATGTCACTAAAAAAAATTAGAATACCATCAGTTACTGCAATCTATTGTAACTAAATTCCAATAGGATGAGCAAGCTGATTTAAATAAAATCAAAATTAACGCCAAAATAAAATACTGTATTTCATTATTGGTTGAAAAATCTAATTCCAACAGTGTTGGAAAGAGACAATCTTCCAGCAGTGCCGAGTGTTTACTTACTTGTTATGGGATGAAGTTGACATTAATTTGCCAATTTTCCTGTAATTTTGACAAAAAACTGCTTGTGTGCAGTTGAGTTAGTACAGAATGAGGTTGTGGGGCTATGTCCTATGCAATAAAGCCCAAACAGCATTACCAATTCTATTTTAAAAGATGCTATAAAAACATAGTTAATTAGTACAAGACCATCAGCATAAATAATGTACCGAAATCTGTGTAAATGCTTTGTAAAATTTAATGATCAAACAGTTGAACACTAAGTTAACATACAAGTAAACGATAAAATATAAAAATTAAAATGTCATAATTATAAATAAATCATTCTGTTTTAATTATGTGCTGTGACTCTGAAGTTTTTCAGTGTTTTGAAAAACAACCAGAGTCCTGAACTCTTGTTGTTTTTCAAAACACTAAAAAACTTCAGAGAAAAATAATATAGGATTGAGATTTTTTTCAATGCAAAATCTGTTATTTTCCTCTCTACATAACTGCAGAGAGGAAAATAACAGCTGGTCAACGACCGCCTGAAATTATTGACCGCCTGAAATGACTAAAATTGTTATTTTGACCTCCCAAAACAAATTTTGTGCCGGTCATGTTTGGTAAAAAAAGCAGAGTTTTAAAAAACAAGGTTTTACAAATAACCATGATGTAATTTGAAAAATGCATATACTAAAATTTTATAAAATCATTTAAGTTTTAAATAAGCATTTAAAATAGTTTTATTATTTATGATATGCTATTTTAATTTACTTCATTGATGAATTTATGACGTGAACTCTTTTTTGTTGTTGTTGCTTCACTTATTTGAATTACATTTATTTTACTGGTGGTTAAAAACCTTTTTTTCATGAATGATTTAATTTCTTATTTTATTATTGTTTCAATAACAAATAATATATTATTTTTAAAACAATATAAAAATATATAATAATTGCTGTATTTAACTGAGAACATTTTTTTCTTTTAAATGTAATAGTCACCTTTTTTTTTTTTTTTCTTTAAATCTTTCTATTTATTTTCACATAAGTTTTTGCTGCAAATCTAATAAATGAATGAATGATTTATAGGTAAATTTGAAATTTTCTATAATAGGATTTGTAAATATATGTTTAATAAAATCTCATTTTATGTAACACTAGTAATTTTTGTAGTAATGCTTCTTAAAACAATTGTCTTCTTAGTATCAAGTTTAAATAGTAAAAAGTTTACGCACAATTGTTAATAAATAACAGTTTTTAAAATGAGCAGAGGTAAAAAAATATTTTTTATCTCTGCTCATTAAAATCAAAGATATAAAATTGTTATTTAAAATTTTAGTATGTAACTAAGAACTTTTTTCTTTTACTTTTTTTTTTTTTTTTATTCAATCTTTCCTTTTTTTTTTTTTTCCATAGCTTTTTCCTGCTGATGAGAAGCCATTGCTATGAATGAATTATTTTTAAATAATTAATTTAAAATTATCAATTGCACTAATTCTATTACAAGTTTCTAATAGCTAATTCTATTACAAGTTTCTAATAGCTAATTTTATTACATGCAGCATTGAAAAATTATTGCCCAGCGGTGCTGAGCAATGCTTTTTCAATGCTGCAACTAGTTGATAAGCAATATTTCTGAGCTGTGTTGTTGTTATATCAGAAAATCTCTCAATTTAATTAAACAACCTGTTATTTTCCCATTTCATTTTAATAGTGCAGGATACTGTCTAGTAGCACGTCTAGTTTACTGTGTTAAAACTGTTTCAATATAATTAAGAATAGTAATAATCAGAATTGTGTTTTTGAATTTTGTTTTACATTGTAAATAAGAAAAAAAAATTTTAGAACAATCTGTTTGTTCTGAATTGAGAAAATATTTTAGTATAATCAGTGTTTTTAGTTCATTTTTAACTTTTTATTAATTAATACTATTATTAATTTTATTTTGCACTAAAATATAGTATAAAATTTTTATTTTATTCGAATCTTCTTTTATTTAAATCTTTTTTTGTTCAAAGTACCATTCATTAGTGTTCATGAATGTATTAAAGATGTTACAGTGTCAACCGGTACATATCCAGTTCTTAAAGGTCTGAATGTACACAGCAAAGAGGTATGTTAAAAATTTTAATTTGCACACAATAAATGAAATGTATTTGTTTTTAAGGTATAAGCAAGAATTTGTCATTGTATTAATTAATTTTTAGCCTTGGCACATTTAGTTATTAATCTAGGGCAGTGTTGTGTTAATATCATTGAGGTTCTGTGGCACTTTAAAAGTTTATTTTAAATAACTGTTTCTTTGAAAAAAATTTGAAAAAAATGGCACCTCTTAAAATCAGTTTTTTTTTAATTTGTAAAGTTTTCATCAAATAAAATGAAGTTAAATAAAAGCATTTGTGTGCATAATTATGTTGCTTGTTGGTTTTTTTTTTAATTATGAGTTGAATTACTGTTTCATTTGTTTTTGAAAATAATATTATTTAATAATTTTGAAAATATTATGATTTAATTTCTGGGAAATATTATAATTTAATAATTTTGTAAATATTATAATAAAAGTCTGATCTACTACCAAATTGTTTTGTTTTTTTTTATTAAAAAAATAAAATTTTGATTCTGAAGAAATAAATTTTTTTTTCTAATTAATGATTTAAAAAGTTGTTATATGTATGAGTGTTTTTAATCTTGGTAATAATTTTTATCTCCAAAATAACTAGGTCACCTTTATTGGAAGAAAAACTTTTACAATCCAATTATTATTTAAAAATTTTTTTTTCCAATATTTATAGTTCTGGATGCATCTTGAATTAGATCCGTGTTATATTGTCAATGATCTTAGTATTGTTGTTACGGCAACTATTCCTGGAATAAACTTTATTGTCAGTGGAGGAGATAATCCAAGGAGCATGAAAATCCTTTCTGAGGGGTTTGCTACATTTGGTCAATCTGAAATTCATTTACTTACTAAAAACATTGCAAGTCTATTAAAATATTTTTTTTCTGGTTACATTTTGTTTATATATATTTATATTTAGTTTTATTAAAGATAAAATATTTTAATTAATTTAGGGTTTTACTAAAACAATTGAAATTAAACTGCTAACAAGAACATTACAGTTATATCAAGTTGTTGATCTAAAGTTAAAAGCAGATAAAATTAATCCTGATTTTCAAAAGCATATTTTAAGCATGTTTTACACTCAGAACAGAAAACTTTCAATCAGCGAGTCAAAAGATGATGAGTTATGTACAT